GCTTGGGGAGAAGCTCTGGGGGAGTGACGACATTAAAAGAATAATTCATGACTCATGAAAAGGTTTGGGCTGGTGTGCATTGAGAAGGGGCGGCTGGTTCCTTGTACGAACGCTATAGCCAAGCGCTACTTTCTATCTACTATAGCATAAAAGCATGACCTTCCTTGAAGCACAGGTTAACTGTAAGCTGGCGTTAATGGGCATTTTTTGTACGTTTAGCCAACAAAGCAAAAACCTGGGCCAGAACAACAGCTGGATTGGTAGTGTGCTCTTTGCATCCGTCACGAATTCAAGAAAGATAGAGCGCGGCAGAGTAAAAGATTACTGGTTCTCAGCAACAAATACATTGTTTGAACTTCCTGTTACAGTGGTGAAATTTTCCATGGCAAAGTGTATCTTGGAGTCACTGTAAAGGAAATAGCGCATGGCAGGCCAACTAGTCTATAGTTTTTGATTCATTAGTGATCCTGCCAACCTCTGACATTAGCGTCATTCTAAACTGAAAAGCAGGGTTGTCACACTGAGCAAACACGTTTGTCCCATGATGGCGATTTTACCGGGTTGCGGTTGTTTCTTAAGGCTTGTCCAGAGTAAGTATCCGGACGGCTGAAGTCAAAGCCAGTAATCCACCACCGAAAAATTTAGTCCCCCTTGGTACTATGCTGGAACTAGTGCTCACTTATTGTTGGCTTTACTAAGGATTGATATCATACGACGAACGGACGGCATTCAGCTTGCAGTGGAAAAGATCGTCGGATTCAACAATATTTTCCCACCGACCCGTTTGCTTTTTAGGAACGCAGCTGCGTGACAGATGTTTGTGGGCAGAGTCAGGTAAGCTTCTGGCGAGGGCCACTGAACACGCTACCCACCATTATTATATGATGTCAGGCCAGACATCTTTTCGCTTAGCGAGTGCAACGGATAAGATTGCAGCAAAATCTGGAGTGGTGTTTGTGATGGGGCAGCTAGAATCATGTAGATACGCTTTTCCTAAAGGAATATTCTTTTAGAATATCTTCCTGAGATGATAGGGCATGCTGTTCAGCCTACAGGATTCCCGGGTTTCCCGACGAAACATGAGCAGACTCAATAGAGTTTTAATACGATTGCTATCAGACTAGATTGCAGTCATGTGCTGATGCGTTGGGCTGCAGCAAAGCATATACTTCATAGCTGAAAACGATTCGTTCGAACAACTTTTCCCTCCGCAGCATATCTTCTGTCGGAGTCTCCTTCCAGTAAGGCTGGTTGACACTTTTAATTGCGAACGCAAGCTGTCGTGACTTCAGCACTTACCACGTGGTTCCGCCCTGTTGTTTCCCCCAGAGCGTAAATCACAATCGGAGATTTTCAAATTTCCACTAGAACGAAGGCAAATTTAGATATGCGTCAGGAGGCATCCGGCAGACACTGAGGCACTAGGTTTGTTGTTGGCTTATTTGTTGGCTGTCAAACAATTCCTCTGCTTATACTGAACATCTTAGGCTGTAGCCAAGGCAGCTTTGAATTCTAGCGCTTTTTACCTATCTAACTCTCACGTTTCGGTGCACGAGAATTGTCTATAGCGCATCAATAATTCTTCCGAATGCGCAAAATGTTTATTCCCGCACTCGCAAACAGGGCCCTGATGTGTTCATGTTGGTTCAATGGTAAACCAGTTATCCCAAAACGCCGCATATCTAAATATGATTTGAGTAGCTTGCTGCATGTGTCAGTAGCAACGTTGCACAGCTAGGCTGAGACAGTTGGTCTCCAGCTAGTTGATGAACAGACTACTCGCGATTTCAGCAGAGGGTACACAACTTATGATGCCCAGGAGCCGGCGGAACAATATGGCGAAAAGGTTTATTTTGCCCAACTATTGCTACTGTTTGACTACACCCGTGGTGGTTTCTGTTCAATACCGCTGATGCTCGGAACCCCGCCAACTCTTTACCTCTCTTCTCACCCATGATTTTTTCTAAGGATATCGTCAAGCTTAGCGATTAACAAGAGAAATCAACTGCGATCGCGCAGCGAAAAAGGTGGTTATTATAAAACGAAGTGCTCTGGAAATTTAATTGTATTCAGCTATGTTTCTAACGACATTCCACACCTAACAGAGAGCAGCTATCTCGGTTTTCTGGAGGCGCGCTTCCAAAAGTTTTTGCAGTGGTCGCAATATAGATTAACCTGAGTAAGGCACCAAACGCATCATTGCATTTATTGCTGCGTGCACAGGCTCACCGTATGCTAGCCTATCCAAGCCAAATGAATCTCCACAGTGACGTCAAACAGCCGAGTTCTACATCCACGCTGGAGCTAGTTATGCCTTTTGGCCGGTCAGCACAAACATAACTCGCTCCACTATAGCCAAGAAAGCCTTGTGACTGACACGGGTACGTTTTATGGCAAAACAATATTGTAGTTCAGAACCTGAAAGCAGGGGGACACGGGGCAAGAAATAACACAGATTCAGTCGCCAAAACATCCCGTCTGTCTCGGCCGCTATACAGAGCCTGATAAGTAGGTATTGTCGACACAGATCTCAACAGGAAGTCGTCTTGCAATACACAGGCTGGCTCGAAGTCATTGGAGGCTGATATTTAGCTGAGAGGCAGAAATGATCCTGATATTCCGAAGTTAGTGCAGACAGCAAATGAGCTTTGAAGCCTGTTTATGAGCTTTCGTTGTGCCACATAATTGCTTCCTTACGGATGCAGAGCTTACTGGAGGACTAGGTTTAGGCTTAAACGGAGAACATCAGGCTGCGAGCACCAGTAGGCGTGAGCCCCTTTAGAAAAGCTAGTCATTCTTCTGACTCTCTCAGGAATACTAGCCGCTTAACCCGCCGCTGCAATGAACCAACCGGAAGCACACGAACTCAATACCTGACGAATCAAATGCTTCGTACTCCATATAAAACGGCCATATGCCCGATGTTGGTAAGTAGACTTAAGCGCCGCATTCCCTGAAATAGAACGCAAATTCGTGTGTTTCACCCCCTAAAAAATATTCGATCCCGGAAATCCTCTAAACGCAATATTCTTTTTGAAAAGGACGCCTGTTACTTTCTATTTTCGCTATCAGCGTGCGTCTAGAATAGTGCACGTGCGTGTGGCGCGGCAAGATGGGCATTCAGTTTCGGGGAATTTGAACCCAACTGCTGGCATTTCCAAAACAGTTGATGAATAAGTGTAATGTTATAGCTAATTCAAAAAAGCTCCATGGAGCCGCCCATCAATCTACTTTTTCTTAGCTTTCCTGCACTGTCTTTGGTGACTGCCCTGATCGCGAAAAATTGGGCACTTGGACTATCAGAAATTCACAAGGACTGGAGGCGGCTGGTATAATGCGGTATACCTGGCACTTTGTAGGTCTCGGCCTACCAATGCAAATTCTAAGTTTCGCTATACACCACCATATACTGTTTCAGTCCTAAGGAAATACCAGCGTGTATAAGCTTGCATGAGCCCAGAGTCAGCCGGGTAAGTTGGCAAGGTAAACTGTGCACACTCCCCAATGAGAACGCTGTTAGGGACACATGCAGCTCTGAGCTCCTCTTGACCAAAACCCCGTGGTGCTAAACTACCCACAACTATTCTGCTGCTCGGATAGTCCATGTATATCTTGGAATGCGGACTATTGCCAGCAAACAATTCCCAGCAGGCACAATTAGCCACCCAGCCGTCAGTTCTGCCTTATTTTTGAAACATCTACCCGAAAGCCATCTGTTAGGCTAGCCTAAACATTTTGGGTCAACGGGACCCTCGAGTGACACACTACACTCTCTTAGAGAATCAAGCCAAATTGCCCCTTTATATAATTGCTAAGGGGGGGCGCCCCCATCCTACTATGCAAGCGCCAAATCAACTACTGCAGCCAGCCTTTAAGCCATCTTCAAGCACGCTGCGCCCCTGCACGCTTCAAGAGAGTCCGAAAGCCAACCTCCAGCAACAAATTATTTTTGCCGTAGCGCCTAAAAAGTGGAGTGGCATTTTCAGCAGAACAAAGTATATGTGAAACACGGGAACGGTGGAAGCTATGTATTTCCCCGTTAGCCGGCATTTGTGAATCTGTCGCCTTCCTACCCAATTCCAGGTCTGCTGGTACCTTCCCCAGCGAAACGCATTAGCTATGCGACGATGGTCTCTTTCGTATCGGTTTCCTCTTGCAACATATAATCAAACTCAGCAGGTGAAGGTCACAGTTCCACCAGAGGAAAACCGGCTTCTGGCAGGGCACGCGGTGCCTCCAACTGCAGACCTGCTGCGCAAGTCTAGATTCGCCTTCTCAAGAGATCATCTTGAAATCTTCCCTTAGCGGGGGCGCGAATATCGGGCGCATTTTCTTTAGAGCATGTATAAGCCTGGTCTGCCGGAAACTACAGGAAAGTGAAGCCGTAGCCACCGCAGTTCTTCAGGATCGAATTGCGCGGATACGGTTACGTGTCAGTCAATGCAGTCTGTGGCTATCCGTGAACTGCTAATTAGTCTCCAGTCACTTCTGCCAGGTCGGTTGGTAACCCTCCACCCAGAAATCGCCCAGTCTGCCAACGTTAGCAGCTATTCACGTTCTTAAAGGGGTAATAAGGAACATCCCCAACCTACCAGAGAGGCCATCCAGCTGGCCGTCCACGGCAAGAAACCCATTCCTTGCCCCTACTAGAGGCGTTCATCCACCAAGCATCGTGAAGTGCAGTGTGGCGTGCTTGAGCCATGCGTGGCCGTTCTATTTACTAGTACAGCGACACTGGAAAAATTCGCGGTGCGGTAGAAACGCGCTGGTTAAGCTGAGCTACCGCCGCACGCTCGCTGCTTGAGGACTACAAAGCGGAGGCGGATGTAACGGTGAAACCTCAGAGCACATGCGCACTTTATATTCTGCTACGGAGCTAAAGGCCCTGGTGGCGAAATATACAGGAGCCGCCTATTGCTACTGACCTTTCAGCCAGCCAGCTTGTGCATACTGAAGGGCTCAACGGTGAGCACCGCAATTCAAAATCACTTTGTAAGTTGCTACGTTTGAGGTGCAAAAAAGAGGATGCTGCTTTCCTCTCCAAAAAGCTGCGCCACCTGTTTCCTTTTTTCCTTCTCCCTTTTCTCCCTTTGCTGTGGAGTGTCAGTGAGAAACCTCACAGCCAGCAGCTTCAGAAGGATTTTCTGTTTAATGGGCTCCAGTAGAGCCATCTGCCGCTTTCGCTTATTCAAATGCAGCGCAAAGTCACGCAGAAGCTTTTGGGTTTCTGCTGGTGGAGCTGCGCTATCTTGCCATATAGATTCCTCAGCAGCCGCCGCGCGGATTGCTGCATCATGAAAAGCAAAAGGACATAGTGTCGCCACCCCGGGATCTACTGCTCCCTTCTTCTCCGGCTGTAAAACAGGTGGCGTTGAAATGCTATTTCCTTCACTACTTGTGTCTCACCTGACATCTTTTCAAATACCTCAGCCACAGTCCACTCGAGCGCCTTAGTGATTCTCTTCAGATGCTGCAAATCCTCCAGCTTGACATGGCCAAACTGTTTTGAAAGATGTGCTGCCCTCTCCAAGTGCCTAAAGGCCAAGGCCTGAGGCGTGGCAGCAGCAGCGCTCTCGGCTGCCGCTGCTGCTGCGCTGTCCACGCTCCACAGGCTTTCCTGAGTCCCTTTTCGTTGCTGTTCGAAGACAAACGTTCCTTCCTCTCCCGTATTTTTTGACCCTCTGTGGTTATCTTTCAATGCCAGTGATTCATTCAGACTCTTATCCGGAGGAGTCAGGGAATCGTTTGCTCCCCCAGCTGCTGGGGGAGCCCTGAGTTCTTGCAGCCACTGCTCCAGCGTTTGTTTGTCTTCCTGCAGCGACTTTTTGCTGCTTTGTCGTCTACTCCTCCTCCTTGTATCTCTTTCTTCCACAGCTCCTATGTGCTGCACGACAAGAGCCTCTAGGTCTCTAAAAGCCGCGTTGGCCAGGTGAACAGGCAAAAGTTGTTTTTCTGCGACTCCGTAGCGCTTTACCAGCAGACTGGATGTAACAAGCTGCTCAACGAGCCTGGGAGCAACCCGAATCCAGAAGCGAGCGTGCTCATGTCTGGTAGGCCAGGGTGCCTGATATGGTTGTAGGCCATAGTCTTTTTCTCTAATTTCTGTTTCGCCTACTTCGAGGGTGCTTCCGCTTTCGCTGCTTGTCCAGCTATCGCAGTCATTTCCAGTCCATTTTGCCATGTAGGACCGTTTAAACCAATGCTTTGCTACGAGGTAGAAGTTGTGGAAGAACGACGCAAATGTCCTCCTACCATCCGCAGTGCGCCTGCTCCGGCTACAAGCGTTAGCGTTATAGCCCATCATGAGTTCGTATTGCTGAAGGACAGGGCTCTCGGTTGGCAGAAAACACCAAACCCAACAAAAGAAAAAAAGGCACAAGAGTAGGGCCAACGAGCACACATGAACGACAGCCAGAAGCAAATGCTGGTTGGAATACAACAGGAAGGAATTCGTCTTAGCTCCCGATCCTGCCGCAGCTAGCCCGATGCCAGTAACGCCGATTAAATGAAAGAACACAACTAGATGAGCGCAGTTGCTGCTGCCGCACCGGAATGGTGGTCGCCAGATGGCCAAAAGTGAAAAAAGCAACATTAATATCGCCGCCGTTGCCGCTCTTGCAGGCTCCCCTAGTGGGTCCTGCAGGATTGCTTCTCCAAGGGAACCGGTTGGCCCTTGTATCTCTAGCGTCGCTGATGCCTTGCCTCCCAAGCTCGCAAGCCACCCAAGACCGGTAGGTGGGAGTGAACTGCGCTGACCTAAAACGGACGAGGATGTGATTAGTGCAGCCTTCAGGAAGAGCAACCATATCCTAAAATAGCTTCGGAAGCTTCCGCCTTTAAAGGAGGAAACAAGCCAAACCTTGTTTTCCATCCATTCACTGTTTATGTAGAGGAGATACTCTAGTTCCCTCTGCTGGATGTATTCCTCCTGCTGTCGGCCTTGTCGCGCTACTGTGGCCTTTCTCACATCGTTAAACAGCTCGAACACACCTCGTAAAAAAATGGTTGACACACCTACGAAGCATACTAATCTGACTGTCAGCAGACCGGTCGATGCGCAACAATCAGCCTGGTCACTGCAGAAAATTAACGGTAGCTCTATTGCCAGGCAGGCGGGCAGGAAAAAAAGCGATATCGCAGCTGCCAGTTTTGTAGCCACACCTAAAATGTCATAGAAAACAAGAGCAGCTTGGGAACCTATTTTACGGGCTACAGTCTTGCACCGCGTGAGAATCGTTGGCGAGCTCGTTTGTAACGAGCACGCTAGCATGGCTGTGACCGAGGGCCGAGCTTGCGAAGGTCGTCGAAGCCTCTGTAGTTCTTGCTCTCTTTTAATCTTATCCAACTCTCGCTGCCGCTCATGAAACTCGTAGGCATAAACAACTCTCGGCCATGTGGCAGTAGGCACGGCGGCTATTAATAACAACAGCAAAAGCACGAAAGCTCGCCCAGGTGCATTAAGGGGATAGGGACCAAGCTCATTTGTTGTTGACAGAGGGCGCAGGAATGTCGGCACGTCTACGAGAAACAACGCAAAGCCCCTGGTCCATATATTCCACCCATACGGGAGAAAAGGCTGTAGAGCTGAAAGTAAGATGGCCAGCAGTTGCAGGCCGTCAAGCAGTAACCAGAGTTTTTCATGCCAATAGAGGCAAACATTGCGGCGCGGCGGTTGTTTGTCGCCGATGCATCCCATGGTAGAGACACAGCCCCAGTATCAAGAACTACCTATACATGAGCAGTCGTGAACATATTGGTAGCGCTTCTCCAGAGGGTAACGAAAATTCAGCTGGGCAACACTAAAAAAGTGTGGCGTAACAAAAGCAGCCCTCAAAAAAAAATTACTTTACTGTTTTGGATTTACAAACGTTGATTTTCCACATAGAATGAAGCACGGGGCTGCCCCTGCAGATGCATGCTCTCTGGGGCTGGAAGACAGATGCCTTCCCAGATTCCTAAGGGGACATGGGCATTCGTATCACCCAGCGTATTACGAAACGATAGTTGTGAATCGCACTACTCGAGCACAACAGTTTAGCAAGTGTAGACTCTCTATCTTGCTGTTGCCCACTCCAGAAGCTTTTTGAGATTAAATAAGGGTATCAACTCTACCGATCGGTGCATATGTAAACGGGAACCACACTCTAGTAGCCCCCCTTAGCCGAACAAGAAAGGAATAGCTGTTGTCTATCACTCCTGCTAGTTGCTAGCTTGGATATGGAGGCGTCCTCTAGCGTCAACTTGCGCTCAAGCCATCCAATAATTCCAGAACATTCCCTGCTCCACTAAAACGGCAGGGTACGCGTCAGCATCACTGGCCTTATCTGCGTTTGGATCAGTCTAAATTCGGTGTGGGATTAAAAGGCATTTCATTTCACAGCTCTGCTAGATCTCCTCATGCATGAAACCCTTCACGTTTACCTTTTGAAGCACAGGTAGGCGAGAAGTCGAAGCACTTCAAATAGTCCTGCCGGGTAATTCACCTTGTGGATTGCTGGCGGCCAGACTCCGGCCACTTGTAAGCCTTTGCTTGCATGTTGTCTCCTTGACTATTAAGCCTGGAATTACATCAAGAACTCCTTCCCGGTCGGGGAGGCTACCAGCCTCGGGTGCGCAAAACGCCAAGATATAAGCTGAAGCGACGTGGAGTGATCAGGCTTGAACTGGTCATGTGATGCGTCAAACCCCGTCCTGCTAGTCTGAACAATCTTTAAAGTACTCATGCCGTTTCCTCGCAAGGAAAAGGCCACTTACTTGTGGAGCTGCGTTACATTTTGGACTAGCTGTGGGTATGTTTAAGCGGTGACACGGCCATTTTCCGACGTGGCTTACTGTCGTATCTTAGCGTATGATATTCGGGGAAGTACGTGCCGTAGTCCTGGTGGCAAAAACGGAATTCCGCCTAACATGCTTCAACATTATGAAGTTAGGAATAGAGCTATGATTTGTAATACTTGTTTTGCATCCGTTACCAGAAGGAACATGAAAAAAAAACAGGTTTTGCCTAAAAGTCGACGATGGTTATCAAGAAGCTGACTACTCCCAGGTCTATGTAATGAAAAATTCCGTTGAGGAAGCCCTCCTAGATGGAAGCTGTTGTTCTTTCCAATTCTATAAATATTCTTTTCAGCTGGCGCTTTTACAGCTAAGCCTAGTCTGAAACCCGATAACACTCTTTGCAAGCGAGACCGGCATAAAGCTCAGCTTTTCTCCAAAAAGTTGAACAATACGCACCAACCATCCATTGAATATACCATTGGGTCTGGATAGCTTAAGGAATGAACAATCCTTTTGGGGGGTAGCCACGACGCTTACAACCGTTTCAAATGAGCAGTGCGTTTTCCGCGTTTTCTATGTAGAGATTGCTTGTACAGCCTTGTCTGCTTTGAATGGAAGACTACCACGCCAAATAAGTGCGTGCTTCTGGCGACCCATTTGGAAGGCTGAGATAAAGTCTTCCCAGTCTGGGGTGACTGATCTCTGTCAGCTTTGATCTTGACCTTCGCGTTTTGGAGAACCATCCACAGTATACTGGGCGATAGCGCCCCTCGAGTACTCACGTACGCATCGAAAGCCCTGTTGTTGGGACCCCACCTTTGAAAGCCAGGTGAGAAGTGTTCCATATGCTGTAAACTGTTCCTCAAGGATTAATGGAGCCTTTACAAGGACTAGGTTCTCAACATCCACCTCTAAAGATAAAACCTTTCTCAACGAGTTTCCTCAGACGGCCAAGCTAGGTACCCAGCTATTGATTAATATTTCGAAGCAATCCTTGAGCCAATGTAAGCAAAGTACTGTAAGCAGTTTCTGCCAAAACTTTCTGCATTTTTTTGGGAGCAAGCGTACACCTCCTTCACACATCAAGTTGAAGCTTAAGAGGCGAAACAATTTCATGTGAGTTTACCAGACCACTCAATCGGCAAAACTCCAATTCTGCTTAAAATAAGGAGTCCACAACTGTATTTCCTCCGTAGGAGGCCCGCAACGATTCTCCAACGTACACAGGCAATGGGCGTCGCAAATGCCACCCACAAAGCATTGCCAAACTTTTCCACCATCAGACATACTATAATCAGTGCAAATGTGGCATAATATGTTACTGTGGGGGAGGAAGAGCGTTTGTCATTCCCTGACACGCCCTAAAAATTAAATGCACCCTTGCAGTTCTGCTCAGCGGGCAAAGCTGCCAATCCAAGAGCTGCTTGGATTGCAAGTTTTGCCTTGTTTTCTTTGTATCCCGAAGTAATCACCTCGCGGACAGTCCTAAAATAGCGTGGTAGGCCAGGGGCGGCTAACGCCCTGCTGGAGCCCGCAGTTTTACTGCATGTTCCGCTCCTATGTGCGTTTTATGCAAAGCGCATTGGAACAGCCTTGCTTGAATGCTTTGGAGCAGCCGCACCAGCTCCAACAATAACATGTTCCCATTTGCTGCCATCAGCTAATCCATGGATGGGGCCTTGGGCAAGCACAGCTGAGCAGTATTATCGTCATCGGACTCCCGCAGCTGCTGAGTTCCCCTCGGGCGGCTTCCCCAAGCAGTATCCGGTCCACAAATGTTCCAGCACACATAATAGCTCGCGCGAATTGGGGGTTCCTCCTTCTATCCGAGTACCCATTCAACAGAGAAGCCTGAAGCATCTCCGTGAGCTATCCAGTGGATTCTGGCAGGCAGCTTGGGAAACTCACGACTCCTGCGTAGTTCAAAAGCTTACGTTCCAAATACAGTGTACGAGAAAAAATCCCCGCTTCCTTTTCTTCAGTTCCTAGCCTTTCGCATGAAGTGTAGGCAAGCCACAGTATACGGTTTTAATACGTTGGTAGCTTTGTGCCCCACGCCTTTCAGCAGCAGCTACATGAGCGCTGGAACATAGAGACCACCAGCGTAAGTTGGTTGGCTATTACTGGAGCCGAGAAGTTCACCCCTACGGCGCCCGTGGGTCAGGCACGAAGTTGAATGCGGGCGCGAGGCAATACATATACCCGACTTTTCTGGCGATTGTCGCCTTCAGCCTGCTCTCAACAAATCTAATGCTGTCTAACAAATATGGGGATAAACAGCGAGTAGGGAAAATGCAATCTAAATGGTAATGAACTAACCTGGCAAACTAGCTAATTTGGCACTGCTGTGGAAGACTACCAACATCTACAACTAGGCTGGCGTTGCTACGGCATGAGCCGCCGTTGCCCTTATCAGTGTACTCAATTTTTAGTCGAAGAGTGAGGCGTCAGGAAATAAACACTGATGGCCAATAACGCAATCTAGTGTCTGACATTCGGCAGTTAGCAAGCTGCCAGCATACCCTTCTCAATACGCGCTGTAGGATCAGAGTGGTGGTTGCAGCAGGCGAAACACTCAAGCAATCTTTTTGTGCATTTATCGCACGGCTCCACGCGCCCAATTGGATGTGATGCAGGTTGGACCATTGGCGCGAAACCGAGGTCGACACTTGTGGGAATGCAGGATCACACGTACGCTTGGTTCGTTCTGTTGGGAAATGGAACGTCAGATCTATCTGATTGTGCCAACAATGGCCGAGTAGCAGGTAAAATCGCGATCCATATGTTTTTGGAGCATCACTGCACTGCTAAATCAAAGCCAAGCCCCACAAGCCCACATGTTGGACTGAAATACTTCAGTATCAGCCGCCTGCCATTTTGAAGTTCATTTTCATTGGGACTTCCTGTAAGGTGTTTGGCAACGTCGTGAGTTTGGCTGTCCTCAAGCATGAAGCAAGGCAGCGCCGGTTTTGCGCTGGGGTAAGCCGCAAAACCCGGTTCATACCCAGCTCACGTATCGACGGCACATCTTATTTACCAGGGCTTGTGCGCATGCATAGCGCTTCCATAGTAGAGTTTGCAGATTCTCCGGAAAGGCGGGGCCTTGCTTCGATATTGTGATGCATCCCCTTCTGATAAGCAAGCTGCCAATAGCAGCGGCAGCTGGGTAGTGAAGAAAATAATGCCTCCACTACCACACCGCGTAGCACCGCCAGTGACAGTCAGACTCTCAGCAAGTGCATGACATTATTCTTGAATTAGTCACTCCGCAAATTTATGCCTGGAAGGGTTGCTGATACTGCCCTGTTTCCAATGCGATGTGACGCCAAGCTGTTGGGTATCTGCCAAAAGGGGTACTGTAGCGCATAAGAACTACAATGGTTGACAAATTGGGCCTGTAGAGATCTATCCTGCAGCGATGGTACAAATAATATATGACTACAGGCAAGTCAAGTCATTTAGATAGAAAATGGAGCCATCACGCTAAGTGTGCTCGCCCGCTAGCCAGGGTGTGGGGCTGGCTGGCGTAGGAGTCGAGGCGTCGATCCGAAAGGATCCCAGAGAGTTCATTGTAATTACGGACTGCGCTCCTAAATAGGTGCAAATAGGACCGATTAGGAGTGGCACCTGAGGGCATTGTTCACTACAGCTAGAGATCCTGATGCTTCGCATCATTCAAATAGGGAAGAAGCTGAAGTTCCAAGAGCGATTGTGGGGGATATGGCGCAACTTTTCCCCGTTATATCCGGTTGTGCGTATTCAAAACTAAACTGCTTTTTTATTGCAAGCGGCTCAACTGTGGGAGAGATGCTCGCAGTCTGCTTCTCCCCTCAATCGTCTGGTACAACCAAATTAGAGTCTTCGAGCTTAGCTGATGATCGTCGTGAGCTGTAAGAGACTCAAGAAGCTTTAGAAGGGATCCCCCCACCAAAGCAGCTGACTTTTGTTCCAGTCTGAAGGCGTCCTGGGCATAGGGGCACAGGGACCTGAGTATGCCAAGAGGGGAAGCTGCCCGTCATGCATTCTAACGCAGCTTGCTGCCACTGCTTCTGCAAGGCACCGCAACATTCAACCATGCCAACAGCGGTTTTGACGCATGTAGTAGAACTGTTGAAACTTACTTAGTCCTCAGAAGCTACCTTGCATACGCGACAACTGCATATACCGCATGTAGATCCCATGGGAAGTGCAGAATAACGGTAACAGTTGATCTTCCTCGCCCTCGAGTAATCATATGCGTATTACTAATGATTATTACTAATGATCTCTACCCACTGCCTTGAGTAGCGCTACTGGTGACGCACTCCGACGCAAATGTACTATACTCTTTCATAAAGCCACAGAGTATCTGAATGTACTCACATGGCCCTCGTGGTTACACTTGAGCAGAATGATTAGAGATGCTTATGCACCCTACCTGTCATTCTGAGAAAGACCGTTATCTACAATTGGTAGAAAGACAAACTAGGCCAATCTATTAGATATGCAAAAATAACACTTGGCTATCCGCTTTGGGCACAACTATTCCGTGTTCGCTTGCGACATATCCGACTGACACGCAGGAATAGAAATGATTTCGGCGTTCTACTCGTCAATTGTTTTTTACCCGAGTAGATGATAGACCGTCGCCATAGTTTGAATGATGCATTGAACCACTCTTCTTGGAGTGCCGGCACGGTCGACATACTTAACGGTACATCACATATGAACTATTAAAAATAAACATATGCTGCTCTGTATCCTTCAACAAATTAGTGAAGGCGGTTTAAATGCGTCTGGCGGCTTGCATACTTGAATTGAATGTATTGGCCCCCTGCAGATGACAGTGATGGCAAAATGCATTTCCATCGGAAAAAGCTGAGGATCAGATGAGCGATGATACCTTCACTTTTCCGTCTATAGCGCTTGCTACCCAGAGCATCTAGCAAGTCTCCACTGCATGCAGTATGAACTTTCCGCTAAAGTTCGGCACTATGTGAGCAATATATCATTTGCCCGGAACGCTTGACATGGAAACGGATTGCTGGGTCTCGCGCTCCAGCAGAGGCCTTCCTGAAAAGGGTACAATCCAGGCGACTAGACTGCGGCATAAGGATGCAACAGTGGCCTCTGCAAAAATAGATGACGCTGGGCAGGTAGCATAGTTATGCATAATGTTGTGAAGTCATGCTTATCCTGCGTTCTCGCAGAACTTGCGTTGGTCTGTACGCGCGTTCGCTGCCTTCCGTCGCACAGCCTCCGTTTCCGTATTGAAATGGCATCGATTGGTGCATCAATCTACATCTAGAGGGCTGAGTACGTGAGATTTCACTGGGAGCCGTTAGGCTTCTGCCGGCTGCGTACGACGGTGGTGGCTCCTCAGCAGTTAATGAGCCATCTCTTGACAACCCGATGCTGCTGGCAACTATGCACGCAACAACACGGGGTAGTACAGCATTAACAAGGCAGAAACAGGCAGCAGACCACATTGTGCAAAACTGCTCAAATGCTTTATCTGCTGGTTGGCAAAATTATAAATGAGCAGCTGGATTACACTGTAAACCACTTGCATAAAAAACACTTCTCACAACTACCCTGCAGAATTACTTCAAGGAAACTTACCAGTCTGTTCAGAGAGACTTTGAAAGTTCCATGGCTTGTGCGTAGTGCTTGTAAAATGCTTCATATCCCAGGAGGAAACGCACGGCAAGGCCAGTGCTGCGGTGCTTGAACGACCAGAAACGGTGATAGAAGCGTCGACGGGACATATATGAACCGTTTCCAAAGAGGCGTCGGGTTCACAAGCAGTTTTACTTGTACCACTTCCAGGAAGCCCCTCAAGGGCATGCGTATGAGCTGAGACTGAAGAAACGGCTCTTGTGACAGGACATACTCTTGAATCGGATTCCTCGTGCTTCAAGGGTCTCTCCGCCACTACCTACAGTTCCGCAGAGCATTGTCTACTTGAAAAACAGCTATCAAGAGAGGGAAGCTATAGTGACCCTTACCGTTTAAGTGTTTCCGCCTCCTGCATACAAGCTGGCGGCACTGTTACATGTTGGCTTTAATGCAAGTCATTCGAAGTTGAATGGCACAGACGAAAAGGTGCGTTGTGAATGCTCCAACTCAGGCGGGGAACGCAAGGCACTGGCTAAGAAAACAAGTAGTTGTATGCTTTATTCACCACATCTGTCCGTTCAGTGTAGGCTACTGAATAATGAATACCCCGGGAAATCGCTCGATAAGTGGCGGTTCCTCTCCATTTGTGTGTGCATTGCAGTCTGAGGGTTTCCCAGTAGCATGTTCGCGGAGCGTACTGAACCATTAATCGAAACGGGCGAGGGTTGGCTCTTCTTAAGAATTGGCTTAGGAGCTTGGCCACATCGTCGCAGACCTCCTACTTGTGAAAATCCATCTTGATGCTTGTCCGCCCTACTCTTGGCCGTACACAAAGGTTTGCCGTGCTGTCGAGGTATTTTTACATTTACTGAGTCAAACCACTGCAGAATTCGTTGTGCGCGCCTTGCCCTTCGCACTGAGCACAACAAGAGGTAGCCTACTGGTGAAATACTACGAATTACTTCCTGGAGTGGAATGCAGTAAGCGTTTCTTTCTCTAACGGTAGATGGCGACGAAATCGGCCTTCTGGTTTCGTACGCAGCACCTGTATGTGTGGTCGGAAATCCCATGCTGCGCAGGCTCGCGTTGATAATAGTGTTGTGGAGGAGTAAGCACTCCGCTTCTGTTGCTGGGGATGCTGCAAGAAGCCACATTCATTTTTCCTGGCTTTGCTTAGTGTTTGCCAGTTTCACTGGCTAGTTCTTGCAAGCAGCAGCAGTGGAATCAAGGTGGCTCTTTGCCTGGCCTCACGGCGTTTACAGCATCGCTAGAGGAGTCGGCATGAACAGTGCTTTGCATATAGGGTTTTCGATGGAGATGCTGGTATGAAGGAGGAGAATTCCTATGTAGGAAGGTGCGATCGGATTTTGGTCCGCGTATTGATGGGGCTGCCCCTCCGAATAGGGCCATTAGCTATCTCAACTAGCAACTGTTGCCTAAAGGAGTAGGTTTTGGTAGCTCACTTCCAGATAGTGTCTGCAACACCAAACGCTGTTTTTCTGCCGATCTCAGTAGTACCAATGCACCTGGTTGCACACGCAGTGGCGGCGTTCTGCTTGACAGGAACTTAATGCAGCGATCCGAAGTCCACCCAAACCTGCACGCATTCTGTGGTGCACATAGTGAAATATCTCGCCTCCTGGATAAAATGCATGCAATACTATATTGCAATTACATACTGCGACTCAAATGGGAGAGCTGGTTGGAATCATGCGACTCCACGATTTGTCCAGCCAACGGAAAGGGCGTGCGCCATTTTTTTAGGGACATGTAATAACTGTAAGACTAGTAACACGACACGGTTCTCCAACCTCGAAGCGATGCAACGAGGATTATAACCAAATGCTCAATCTGGGTGACATGCTTGACTTGCTTCACAACGAAGTATACAATGGCAGGCACAGCTGCTAAGGTAAGATCCTCGGAGGAGTGCAACAAGCAGCTCCCTCCCTGTTCTACTGCGTCGTCGATGAATGCAACAGCTGCTGCTAGGTCCTTTAGTTTTTCCTTATCTATGGCCTGCATGAACAGCAAGAACAATCTAAATCGTCTCGGGAAGGCAAGCGCCTTGAATATGTGCTTGAGCGGAGCCGAAAACACATGAATGTTGCGAGCGTAACTGCGCAGTTAATAGAAACTCTGTGAAGCATTAAAGCAATGGAGTGCCTACACAACAGCCCTACCGACTCGCTAAACTTCTCCCCCTGTTGCCAGTGAAGTTTGAGGTGGCGGGTTGGGGACATCAGCGTTGACTCATCTGACACCACATTTGCTGGGGAGTCTTCAGATGGTTGTGGAAGGCCCTCATCAATAGCCATAATATGGGAAATTTTGTTTGATGTTAAGAATTCTTTGTCGACAACGACTGGACTCAATGAAAAAAAGAGGCCGTCCTTAAGCCGAAAAGGCCCATACAATGCCCCATCGTCTCCAGTCACCGCTCGACCATATCCAACAAACTCGCATTTATCCCCAGTATCCAGATTGCTCTCCAGGCGTTTTATTCGCTCATTCGTTGTGTCCTGTGGGATGATTCGAGGCTGATTGCCGTCGCCCTTGGCAGAACAAGAGGTATGCTTCTCCATTTTGTGGCTTGGCGTGGCTTAGGGGAGTGTTGTGGGAAAATCTGGCTTCTCAAAAACTGTCATGACAACTAGATTACTAAGTGTAGAGCTAGTTCTGCTCGTAATGGGTTCCAGTCCTGTTGCCGATTGAACAAAGACCTCAAACCTGCCGAGTATACGTCCGACTATCCGTGCTGCCAGTTGACAACAGGCTCCTGGCAGTTCATTTTAAGCTGGACAAAGGGGAGTGCGCACAGCAACGAAACTGATGCTGGACGACGAAATAAACAGAGGAAATATGCTCTGATAATTTTCTGACCATGAGAAACTCAAGGGCAATGCTTCTGAAGCGCTGCGCAGGTGGCTTCACAAGTGCAACGTCGCCACAGCCTCGTGGGAAACAGGGAGGACGCCGGTTCAAGGCCAAGGAAAAGGGCCTTACAGCTGCTTAAAAGGCTTGATTAGGCGCCTTTGGATTTTTCATGTTGATATTCTGCACTGGTGGGTTCTAAGCGCCTACTGAAGCTTATGTGACTTGATTCGGTACCCTGAAATTTTCCGTGCCGACGTTGGGCACTATTTTTACCTTGGGTGACCTGATGTGGACCCTCAAAAAAGTGTTGAAGCGAACAAAAGGGAGTTGGATGCAGGGGAGAATCAGTCTTCTAATGATTTTTGGGAACCATATCTCCGTGTGGACCGCATGGTCAAATTGTTGGAGACCTTGTAAGACACGTTACTCACGACCTGTGAGTCAGTTATTTATGCAGCATGAGAAGCTGGCCGGCTATATGCACTGATACTCATGAAACTTTCACCAGGAGACACATTTTTTCTAATGAGAAGCTTCCTTCGTTTCAATGGATGGAAATGCGGCGGGAAAAGGCTGCAGTTCAGCACAGTTCCAGCTGGTAAAGAGCGCCGCAGTTGCTGCAGACCAGATCCTGCTTTAGATGCATACTGTATCTGACTTCAAATGCAAAAGGCAAAGGATTTAAGGCAATGTGATCTGCCGCACTGAACTCCTGGATAATTGGTAGACATCTTTAAACGTGATATTCACTAAATACACGACCCATGCAGCCCCGGAGAGTTTCACCCGCATTAAGTTAGCACACAGCACAGCTGAAATGCTACTTAGTAGCTGCGCTTGTTTCACCTTTGCCTGCTTATTTCCCCTTCATCTTTCGACACAATAAGTGCATGGCCGGCCTATGATAGTACCTGCACAACACTCCTACCGTTTCCCACGTGGGATTCACCGAAAAGCAGCCGAATGAATTCAGCCTGCAGATTAACTGGGTACAGTTGTCCTGATTAAACTGGGAAAACTCCTGCACTTTCGTGACGCAGGTCTACCCATGTATTTGTTTAGGAGTCAAGTAATATTGTCCAGATTTCGTACAAATCCTGAAGTCGTTGGATTGTATGCGGGAATTATCGCAAAACGGAAAAACCGCCTACGAACTTGAGTAACAAAGTCTCGCGGTGCGCTTGAGTCTACACGTCACAGCAGACTGACACTACTGAAACTCGTTGGCATTCGTTTGCCAAATTTGAGAAGCTCACTCGTATCCTCATAATTAACCTTGCGGCGTCGGTGTAGCATTATCTTTTTGATCATAATACACGTATTTCAGCCCGCTTCCAAGCTTGGCACTGGGAGCCAAAAAGGTCTTTTACCGTTCTATTCAGTGTTACTGCACGCCCCCGTGGGGAGATTGGTTGCACTTGTACGTGAAATTGCGTTGAACTACTAATGGAAGCAAGGGACACTGCGGCAGAGGGCGCCTGCTTTCCACACCAGCGCCGGGCCCCTGGAAAGCTGTGCCTATTACGCCTGGAGACTGGAGGGGATGCCGTTAGTATTTTGCGACATCTTTTCTTGAACCCTTTTACCCTGTTAGAGAGCGCCACGGTCTTCACCTGCCAAGGAACCGTGTTGCTGGTGGGCTGAACTATCTACGAACCCTAGACTTTACAGCTTACCGTAGAGGACGCTATCGTTATTATATATTGACCCGGAGTCAGGAAGGGCTAAGCTGAAGACTAGAATGATGCGCATTCGAAAGGGGCCTTTCTTAGGCGCTGATTAGCTTGGCCACGACTTACTCAAGTGCTCGTCAAAGGAGCCTTAATATCTAAAGCCTAGACACTGCGGATGAGGCGTCTCTTGCAGCTAGAGCTCAAGGCGCCAGCTAACTGGACAGCGGTAACTGGCTTATGGGATGGGCGAGGCTTAGCTCACTTGAGCTCATTTGCAGTCGGCATCTAGAGAGGTCCTTAATGCCTTTGGCCCTACATTGCATATGATTCGTTCAGTGGCCATAAATGCGGTTTCTGCCGCCTTTTGTTCCCACTAGTCAGGGCACGGTGCCAGCCGCTGTATATGGTCATGCTCTATCTTCAAATGCCTTGCCTGATGTTTCAATAACTGCACTCATTCAAACTGAGGTGGTCGTCTGTTGGTGGAATAACCAAGTTTCGGTTCGCTCCGCACTTTTTTTGGCACACCGGCTGTTTTGTGCGTGTTTTTAGTATGATAGTGGCAGAGTCCTGCCACTATATTTCTACTTCCGTAGCAGGCGCTACTGCACAAAGTTAAGGAGATCGTTTGTCGAAATTAGCTTGCTTGCCCATATGCCTGCCGGGCTTTCCCAAATTCGCCTATTTATTTGCACGCAAAATGGGTGCACTCATAAACTACCGCCCAAACAAGGGGTAGGAGCTATTGCGAGGCAGGAGGAACTAGCTTTGCACTGAACTGGCACAGCGCAAGTTTTTCATGACCCACGTGGCGTGCTTGAGCTCTTGGACAAACTTGGAGAGGTTGTCAGATATATGAGAACATGTAAGATGCCTGAGTCTGGGCTTTAGCGCCGGCAGTGGCGCCTGGCATGTTAACCTGCTTGATCCGCAATACTGACCAATCAACCTAATATTTCATCGACAGTGTCGAGAAGACAGCATGCACAGTGTGCGTTTTATTGAGTACTCCAAAAACAAGTTTTACTTGTGGACGATGTTTCCTTCGCAGAAATGGGCGAAGAAGGTAAGAGGAATGATATTCCATGCGTGAGGAAAATATGACCCTTCACAGGTAAAAACATTAGCACCAGCATCGAAATGCTTAAGACAATAGTTTTCCAGATGGTTATTAATATCTCTTCAAGCCTTCATGCGTTCTGAGCAGAGCAGCACATGGTACTGGTGCTGGTGGGGAGATGGCAGGACATCGCTGAAAGTACTGCCGCAAGGCAAACCCGCGCAAAAGCACGCCCAGTCGCCTTTGACAGGTGTACTACCCAAATTGTCTACCTGCCTTTCACTAGGCACACTACACAAGAAACATAGAAGCGGCTATATACTTTCAACCAAGCTAAGCTCACCCCTTTGCCTTTCCCCAAAATGCTTCCCAGCACATGCTCTCGTTTGTCGAGTCGTCCACGCAAAAAGCAGGACAAGAAGGCCTAGACAGGCTGGCAATTAGAACACTGCAAAACCAACTGTGAAAAAAATGAAGGGAATCAGGAGTGCTGCACATGCTGCACATACATCGTTCTGCGGTTGCACACCTCATGTGGCTGACTGATGCCGGGGCAAAGGCGTAGTCCACTCGTCACCTGGAAACATCACAGTAGCCAACGCGGGGTATAAGCCTTCGATTTGTGGGGGCGGCCCAACCTTAGACAAAATAAAAGATTGACACGCAGCAGCATAGTATGGGAAATGCAGAAAGGCACGCCAGCACCAAGTGGGAACCAAACCCCAAAGTGAGACACAAATGAGAATGCATTCCGCTGAACAAGCGCGCCAGTCAAAGGGGAAGGGATGTGCTCAGATCACTGCCAAACAGGCAAACGGTACAGAAAAGCACGTAGGAATAGGGTGTAGAACTTCATCTGACTTTTGACAAGGCGACTCACTCTCGCGACTGCAGACAGCTCATAAATAAATTCTGTTGTTCATGCCGATGCTTGCATTCGGTGCCGGCGAATCAAGGAGACCATGTAGTTGCCTCTGAGGGTTTCTCAAGCAGTCGTTATTGACGTACTCAGGTTTCCTATTTCTTGGCCAGTCCAAAAAGAGCTCGTTTTCTGTCACACGTGCCCATCACATAAGACTGTCTTGCGGCCTTCGCTGTCCTCCAGGTGGCTGCTTCCATAATGGCTTTACTGACGTCTAGTGGGGAGAGTTCGAGCGCAATTCGTTGCTTCTCTTGACCACCATAGACAACGGAGATTTTGAATAGTGGCGTGGTATGATGGCATCTTCATTTGCGGGGAGATCTAAATGGTAAGCCAACTCGCTTACCAGAGGGCAAACAACAAAGCTCCCTAGCCAGTGCCCGGCGCACCTCGTTTGATCTTCACCCTCCTTCGCACATTCTAAAGCATGATAATATAGGAAGAACAAATCCCTAGAGGTTAAAGCAGCTGCCAAAAGATTGTGCAGCAGTTTCTTTCCTGGCTGTAGGAAGATGAGGATTGCGGGGTTGAAGTATCACCCAGCGCTACACAAGGAAGGAGAGCAAGCCACTCTAATAAAACTTCAAATAACAGAGCAGGGAATACTCCACCAGCGTGCGGTGTGTGCGTTTCATTTGATTGCGAGCCTCCCGGGTGTTCTCTGTAGTTTCGTCACGGTCGATGTTGAGCGGCACCATGCATTCTATAAAAGGAGGATAACTTCGGATTTCTGGCAGTATGAGCGACGACGAGGAAAGTATAGATTGTTGAGACTTGATCAATCAATAACTGGGGTACTCCCGATTCGATTGACTGGTCCATAAGCGGATTTGGTGAGGCACCGCGATGGGTTTCAATGTGGGTTGATCAGCATTTAAAGCTCGCGATAGCATATACAGCAGCCTTGTGCAAGAAACGTAACTGCTTGGCGTCGACTTCATTCCTTGTTGGAATTTAGTTACCTAAGTTTCATCAGGCTCACTTTAATAAGTTCAGTGCTATCTCATCTAGTAGGAAGGCGAGCCTCATTTTGCGCATTTAGACTGCAATCAC